TATAAAGAATAAATTCAATTTGCAAATAAGTGACACGGTTGAAGAGAAAAATTAAATGAATGCAAATCTCTTACGGCTTACCTTTTCACATAAGATCGAACCCATAAAAGAAGAGTGGTTAACTAACCATATATGTATTATGAACACACACCAAGCGTTAACTAGGTTTTGTTCAAATGTAGAAAAATTATATTTTCCTTTATTTCATAAGTGTGAAATGAATAGAAATATCACTTGTGTGCCGAAATTATGATGGCCTGTCATGTTTGTTTGTTATATGGGAACATGAAACAATTCTTGAAGTACGGCCCCCTCAATTATATATTTTATTTTTCAATTCAAAATTTTTTAACTAATGTTGATACAAAATTGTTGCATTTGTATGCATATTTTATCTAGCGATATAATTAATAATTTAATGCAGAAAGAACTTTTCTTACATGCAAAATATGTTGTACAAGAATGATCTTATATTGACGTATCATACAAATAAGATTGGATATTAATTAATTTTCTTACAAAATAATATCCATTAAAATGTGAAATAATAGTAAGTACACAATAATTTAATTATGTACAAAAAGGTGTATTCAACATTAATACATACGACTAGTTGCGATAGGATATGGTTTAATTTTCCGTCAAAGTAGTAAGTAATATTGCATTAAAATGACAAGCCATAATTGCTTATAAGTATAAAGCTAATCTAGTCAAATCACTTAAATATGTAAACAATTATTAAAATACAAGGTTTTAGGTTACTCTTGTGTGTATGCAATGCGAAGACTCATTTTAGCTTCAAAGTTCAATAAACAAAAACGAACAACCAAAATTTTCAAAAGTCCGATTAGTAGTTGAATTTTAATATCTGTTAAGAGTGAAATCCCACGTCACTAAAATTTAAAATTATAATCATTTAAATATGAAAATTATATAATCAATATGGCCATTGTTAGTTAACGTAATTCGTCAGTATATACTATTGTAAGAAATATCCAATGTATTGTAGTGCAAAATGTCCAAAAGCGCCCATTTAGGCTTTGTTTACATGAAAAGCGAATTAAACTTGAAACATTTCATCATCTTTATTACTGAGTACGTCTCCAAAATTAGTATAATTTGCATGAAAACTACTGGTGTTTATTAAATTAATGACTCTAATGGTCTCAAAAAAAGGAGGGAAAAAATAAAAAGTGCAAATGAAAAAACTCAGATACTAAAATATTGGGTTATAAGCCCTAAAATAACTCCATAAATCAATGGTACATTTTAAAGTACAAAATGTGTTCCCATCTTTCCCGTTGTCATGACATATTTGTAATGCTTGATTGGATAAATTTTGTAAAATTCATAGCTCCAAGAAAACAATATATAATATGTTTTTTATTTAAATTTTCATTAGGCTACTGACAATTCGAAAACAAACATGGAACAAATATTCAAACGGAGTCAGTACGTCTCCAAACTATAGGGAAGTTAATTGAATATACGCGAGTACCTAACGTGGTATTAAAGTTAGGTATAAGATTTGAATTGAAGTCTCATCTCTAATCATTAAAATAGATTGTTCAAACGTATGGTCTCTCTTTCAGAGTTGAAGTTTTTATTTAGAATGGATTTATGTTATCCTATTAAAATTCGCCATGGTTCACAACGTTGTCCAAACAGAAGAAGAGCAGTTAACCAACATTATATTTTATTTAGTATGATATGAATAGAAATATGTCATTTGCATGTCAGCTCGAAATTATGCTGTCATGTTTTGCTGGTCACATGGGAACATGGAAGAGTTCTTGAAGTCAAATACGGCCCCAAAATATTTATTTATTTATTTATTTTTATTAAATTCATAAAGTATAAATTAATGGTGATAATGATGTTGATAGATTAAATGGAAAATTTTGGTTGTGTTCATAGTCAACTCTATCTAGCAATATAATTAATAATTTAATACAGACCAAAATATTATTTTTTGTGAATACTTTTTTTTAAGGGGGCAAATATCACGTTCCCTATCAGTTGTGTTAGAATGATTATTATACAAATAGGATTTCTATTAATTAGTTTCCCCACAAAATATTGTTGGAATTAGATACAAAGAACAACCAATATTGATATGAATAAAAAAATTGGTTTAACCGTAATAACAATATCCATTTTCTATTATTACTTACGATCACGAATAATTTAAGATCCAATCATATGAAATTTATTTCTACTATCACAATCCTTGTGATTAATAAGTTACTAAGACTTAAATCTACATACTCTATAATTTATCTGAATAATAATTCAATTAAATAATAGATCTTGTCATAAATAATAAATGCATTATTCATATTAAAAACATTTACAATATAAATCGATTGGATCTAGGGTATAATACTTACATGTTATGCTCAATATCCTTAGTTTGACCTATATTTGTCTTAATTTTGCTCTTTATTCAAGTTAGTTTTTACTTTATTTTTCATGTTAATATAATTTTATTTATTAAATAATATTAGAAAACAATTAACAAATAATTTTTTCTGTGCTTATTATAGTCCAGTTGTTTTGTCCAATGGAGCACTCAAGTACTAGAGAAAAAATTGATGATGAACTCATTGTGGGAATGGAAGTACGTTTGGATGAAAAAGCTTTCAATTTAAGTAATACATCTTCTTTAAGAAAACGTTTGAGCATTCGCAAAGGGCATATTCGAAGGGATGCCTTAAAAAAATATTAGATAACAATTTTTTTTATTTTTTTTAAAGGGAAGGGTTTTAAAGAGAGGAAGAAAATGTTGAGTGAGGAAAATTC